TTACCCCTCTGGGCATGTGACTAATATTTCGAAGGATAATTCTAATTAAAAGAACAGAAAGACTAAATTACAGGACCGCAATTGTATTAGTAAAACTTAAAATCTTTACATTGTAATATGGTAGTTATTTGGGCAAATTCAAACATAACCTATAATTAAAATTTCAGATAATAGGAGAGTTGAACACTTGAAATATAAACGTCAAATTCATGTACTAATAAAAAAGTGGCCTTCGCTCTTTGTATACCTTTATTTAAATAAAATTTTTAAAATTGTTCTAAAAATGCAAAATAATTTAACAGACCCAAATTGTTTTGAAATTGTATCTTCGGTATTAATTTTTATTCTGACTTTAAAAGTTTTTGTTTACGAAAAAAAATCATACAACACTTTACAAACATCTCGTCGTTATCTGTGATCGCAAATGTTATAGGAAAATTGCGAACGGGCGGGAAAGTGCAAAGATGTTCCCAGAGAAAGTGGCGCCGTGACGACGTTGTGCGGAACAAATCGGAAATTATCCTTGAATATGACGCTTTACTGACTAGTGCTACATGGGCACTATATTTAACGTGATTTTATGACTGTGTTTAACTATAGACATTTTTAAAGAGTTGCTGTTAATGTTAAAAAAACTATGACTTTTCAAATACGCACAAACAAGCCAGAATAAAATTTGTATATATTTTCATAAACCGATTTTAAATGCATTTTACGCTTTAGTAGGAATTGGCGCATATAATTCAATAAAATTTTCATAAATTTCATCGATTTTCAAATTCCATTTCTATATGATCTTATATCTTAAAGTTTATAGCCTCCATAGCTTAAAATAACAAGTCTATTTCATGTGAGTAGGAAATGAACAGAGTGCCATTTGTGGCCAGCCGCTCGGCCATGGCGCGCACGTCCGGCAAGCTTTTTGTGAGCCGTCGGGAGCCGCTTAGCTCTGCTCCATATGGTCATCTACTCTTTGATATTCTGAGATCACATAACATAGTCCAGCCACGTATTGATATTTTCCATATGACTATTCGAGTTTTTAGTATGGTCATTTCTAACATGGTTAGTATTTTTTTACTTTTATGACTTTCGAGGTCTGAATAAAAATATATTTAATATTTAATATCAATCAAAGCCTAACAAAATACTCGATTAATGAAATAAGCATAAAAATTATATAAAACAAAAATATAAAAGCTAAGAAACAGTTACTCTATAGTCTATGTCATTACATAAAATTTTATGTGACTGGCTAGTGAAAAATGCCACAGATCTCCAATTTAAAAAGTAAATTATCGTCTATCAAAGTTAATACATTCATAAAAGTACTGGCAAGAAACAGCCTTTTATGTGCATATACGAGCTAATATGGCAGTACTGCAACCACTTACAGCAAAGCGGTATTATAAGATCCCATTAACACTTGTATTTGAATAAGATGTACGATCAACGCGACAGATTTATTATCGCCAGTTTACTTAAATAGCGTACATTATACGTCATTATTATAATGGTCAGTTGCACATAAGGCTGGGTATACACGTGTAGCTGGCACGCTTGCATACAAGGTACTGGTATGTTCAACGGGCAAGTGAACGTTATCTAGTTTGCTACCAGTGTGTAATCCCCCTAATTTATTAATGTAGCTGGCCCGTGATAATTTGTAATTAATTTTTATACTCGAAATAACTACTTGTCCATATTCTTCAATTATTAAGATGGTTAAACTCAGATGATCACATATAAAACTAAATGTCTAGTGGTTTCTTTGATCGTAAGACTAATATTTGAGTGCCCTTTTCGTAAAAGTCTTATATTAGGATGAGGCATACCTATTCTATAAATTAAAAGTAAAAACATATTTGTTAAAAAAAATCAAAAAATGCAGTCACGCAACCTTAGAAATCCAACTTCAATCGCACATATCTGCAAATAATCTGACGAAAGCACTTTAATTGTAGTCTATGTGTCATTGTAATAGAGTTTAAAATCCAGTGTAATTTCTGTCTATACCAGCGTATAGTTCGCGAACGAGTCAATTGGTGGCGTGTAAAGGGATCAATTACCCGCTAGTGGGTTGTTGAGCGATACGGGTCTATTTGTGTCAACTCAATAGGCGTGCATGACATTGTATGTGTGACTGGTGTGCGACGTTTGAAATTGATTCCATTGCCACGCTATACATGTGAAAAGGAAAACAAGATATGCATATGACATTCCTACCGAGAAGTTGAAAGACCTATATAAGCTGAATTATGGAGTCACGAGCTGTTGCCCGCGACTTCGTCCGCGTGGTATCAGAAAACATACAACTATATAAATTACAAAAGCTACGTATCCCTCGGGAACCGGACATTTCTCTGGGATGAAGCTTATCCCATGTGTACTCCAGACTTTGTTTTATATCTGTGTCAAATTTCAATAAGATATAGTGAACCGTTGCAGAATGATCGAAAGAACATTAAAAAACTAAATTAATGAATCCCACGGGAACTGTAACCTTTTCCCGGGATAAAATACTTTTTAAACACATAGGCTACTGCCTATGTGTTCTTCCAGACTATGCTCTAAACCTGTGCCAAATTTCATGGAGATCCGTTCAGCCGTTTAGGCTACAAACGCTAACAAACATCCGTCCATCCATCTAAACTTTCGCGTTTATAATATTAGTAAGAAGTAAGATTATTGAAAGTAGTTTTTCCAAACTAAATGAAACACTTAAAGCCCGCTACATGCTGATGCTGAACAGATCGTTTTCAGTTTTGACTACATAAGTTAAATTTACTTTATCAGATAAAAATGAGAGTGTGTAACGAGCCTAATGTAGCTTTGATTGTAAAGTTTCTGTTTAAAATATCAGGTAAATTAAAGTAAAATACGGGCCACATATTAAACACTCACTATCAGCCTTAAATTTTGCCTAGATGTCAATACTCCACATAATAAGTATTTGTGTCTCCTATATTTTCTGCCATACCATGCCCTTCCAATTGATGTAAAATATATCGTATATTACTCTGTAATAATGTGGCTTTTTAATGTTTTTTTTTCTAATAACGGTTCATTACTTCCGGAAACTATCCAATGCAAAAAAAAATCTTTCCTCTACAATATACGAGTAAGTATAGATAAAGTAACATAAACAGATTCCTTCAACTATTGTCAAAATAAGGCCACAAAAAGTAACAATAACTAGAAAACATGTATACATACACATCCCAGAAGCTAATCAAAAGCTTTATAACGTTATATGAGGAAATGTACGGAGCATCGTCCGTCTGACGTGTGAACGATCCCTCTCCCTCATTCAACACATCCGTCCTGTTATGAACCCGACGATATCATCCTATGTCAGATAGAAGCAAGTCCCTTTATAACGATTTATTCACATAGTGTTAGAGCGTGCGCCTGAAACTATCGCTCAATTGTTTACGCTTTGATTCCAATGACCTTGTATAGAAGTGCGCACACTACTCGAATTTTAGTTGTGCAAATAAACAACTGAATGGGCTGCGAAACAATCGACAATCGCACAAAAGTGTGCGACAGTGTAGTCAAAGGTGCGCCCGTTCATACAAATTCAAATCTTTATTACATAGAAAAGTAAGAAAAAAATGTACATACTGTTAAATAGTTTGAAGGAATAATATTCCTAAAGAATCATAACTCATAAAACTATTACTCTAGGTACATAAAACCAATTAAAAATGTCATCTTAAAATCTTAATTATCACCAATTATTTCCATCAACCAAAACGTTAACAACCGTTCAGAATTATAACCACGATTATAAGTTTAATTAAACTACGTCGTAATTTTCAACTTTAAAAATGAAGATGATCGTAAACAAAAGATAACAAGCCAACATATAATTGTTGAGAATGAACGATTTAATTTATTAATTTAAGCACAGAGCATATTTTACAAGTTCGATTTGCATGCGGACTTCGTTTTGTAAGAACCGATCGCCGATACAAACCATCCATTCATTGACATCATTTTAATTGCATACGATAAATGATATTGTCATTTAAAAGCCCAGACAAGTTGTTAACAAAGGAATTAAAAAACAAACGTAATAGCCTTTGTATTCTTTCAGACTAGCCTGTACATCTATGCCAAATTTCATCAAGATCCGTTTAGCAGTTTAGGCTACGACATAACAAACATCCATCCATCTAAACTTTCGCACTTTTAATATCAGTATAATAAGGAAGAACATAAAAATCCTGGCCTGGAAGCACTTTTATAGTTATCATATTATCTAGAGAAACACTTATACTCGAAATACGAACTCATTAACTTTAAATTATAGACGGCTTTCTGTTTTTAGGATTGCAGTTGTGGAAACATTACCGAGCTCAATTCAAACTGGTCAAAACTGTAATTTTTTAAATCTCTTGAATTATGATAAACAATATAAGTGCTACAGTTGTCCAATATGATCTGACCCTCGGCATCCGGTAGATTGAAGCATTTGTCACCCGCTCTACCGGAGATGTCACTCAATATAAGGAAATTCCTCTTATTTATATTCCGTGAAGGATATTAACTGTCACAGACAGTGTGAACTATAGTTCAGCTATAAATAAAATTATGAAACGAACACGTATTGGTGAATTGTTTAGTGCTACACTAAGGCTCGCTATATGAGTAGATTTACAAAAGGGGCTCCCTTAATAACCAAGTAATAAGTGTGCCAATACGTCACAGACGACATGTCGCTAATATTAAAACTAAGCATAAATTTTTAAAAGCAATCAGTTACGTAAAATCAATTATATCTATTAGTGAACATAGTTCTAAATCCACAGATAAAAAAAAAATGTTTTTACGTAATCCAAAAACCACAGAAGCCATAAACACAAAAACATTACTAAACAACGATCCTTTTTTTGTCATTAAATTTTTCCTAATCGCTTGTTCGCAATCAAGATAAAAACAAGAGAGAGTTACGCCCCAATAAGATAGGCTGAGATATCCAAAAATTACCGCACCCGATACGTTTCTGCCGACCCTCTTTTTTCACTGACCTGAAACAAAGAAGAAAGATTAATTAGCTCATTAGTTTGAAGACGAGAGGAAAAAATAGAAACATGACAAATGAGAGTCCACTAATCGAGACATGAAAGCATTTTAATTGCTCCTATCGAAATACTGTTTTCTTTAAAAATAATAAACTATGGAATTTATTAATAAGAATGTTTTTTTTTACAAGACAGGGTATAACATTCTCTCTAAATATGTTTGCAAAGAGAATTCAGTTCAAGAGGAAGTTATCTATACTATTGTTATAAAACTCAAAAACTACTGGGATGGTTTCAAAAACTCTTTTACAATTAATAGCTACGTCATTAGTAAGTAACATAGGCTATGTTTTTTTTTTTAACTTCATGCAAGCGAAGTCTTGATCAACAGTTAGTCATATTAATATTATAAATGCAAAAGTTTACATGGATGGATGTTTGTTAGTTTGTAACCTAAACGGATGAAAGGATTTCGATGAAATTTGGTATAGATGTAGAGGATAATCTGAAAGAACACATAGGATTCGACGCTTACGAAGTCGCGGGCGAAAGCTAGTATTTTTACTATAGTGGTAACAATTAAAGGCATCTTCATCCGCACGGAATTAAAAAAAAATACAGTTTACAAGACTACATTCTACTTCTGTGCTAAGCTTCATTAGTAGTAGTAAAAATATATTTCCATCTGTTATCTATGCATTTATATTTGTATGAAGGATGTACGTAAAGTTATTTAATTAATGGAAATTTTCTCCGTCTCGCTAACTTGTCAACTTAACAATAAAAGATACGAATGTGTCATTAATTTGCGGCGTGAATTATAATGTGTTAAAATAAACACATGAACGTATATGAAATATTACTCAAAAAGATACAATGTACAGAATGCAGTCTTTGATTCATTTAAATTGTTACAAACTTTCACCTTTTAAGGTACTAAAAAATATAATAAAAAATAGATTGATTAGAATAACACAATCAGAAATGAGTAAACATAACATACAGTATTTACTATAAATAAAAAAATTCAAAATTGTAATTAAATAAAAGATTCTAATAAGCAACAAATCATTGCTAGGTAATTGACATCAAAATTTATTTTTTTATCATGCAACAAGAAACTTACCAGCCTTCACAAATGTTAGATTAGGTAAATTACTAGCTTTTGGCCACGACTTGATCCGCGCGGAATTAAAAAAACAGTAGCCTATGTGTTCTTACAGACTTTATTTTACATCTATGCCAAATTTCATCAAGATCCATTAAGCCGTCTCGAAGATATGAAGATACATCAATCCTAACTTTCGCATTATTAACATTTCTTGTAACATTGTACTTAGATATTCGTGTGTTTAATCAATATCTAAACAATAAAAGTGCACAGATTATAAAATCTGTATATAAAATTGTTAAATTGCACAGAGCATACAACGTCGACAGTACAGACAGGTGCGTTTCCACGCGACAATCCGCCGACGTGATCGCCGTAATACATTTGAACTTCACTATTCCGACACAAAAACCATTTTGTAGTTGGCCAGTTTTTGGAGTAAATTGAATTCGAAGCGAATGACTTTTTGTGTTGCACGAATTTCATTCGTAACTCGTGGAAATGTTTTACGTGATTTTTTTTTTTAGTTTTCATCGAATACAGATTATTTTATATTATTCTAACTGTATTATGATATAGGTTTTTCGTACTAATTCTACACTGAGAAAGATCACTACACAAGACAGACTGTTACATCAAATTACTCTGCAACATTGCAAGTCCATACCTATAGCTTAGGCTGGGTTAAGATGAACACAAGATAGGTCTTGTATTCTCCTCTTTCTTGGACAATCCTCCTCGAACGTCCTTGGTCAAACAGGCCTCTATATTTCAGCTAGAGTGAGATAAGAAAAGCTTGAAATAACAAGCAACACTTCCCTGTAATAAATCGATTGAGACATCGAGTCCATTCGAAGATGATCTTTTAAATCGATCCTCGAAGTAGGTTGCCCCTATTCGTTTTATCGTCAAGTTTTAGTAGCGTTGTATCGGTGGTTTATTGGACGTTAATTGGTGGATGCGGGCCGAGAAAATGTGTCATGGCTGCCAACTATAAACTCTATTGTTTGTTTAGCTATTCGATAGTGCAATTCTTACGTAACACGCATTTAAATTGATTACACAGAAGTTACAATAAACACATCAATGTACTAAGAAACAAGCATAGGTAAACGTTCTAGTAACACACAGCCGGAAGAAACAAATGCCAACCACGTACTTGGATAACCTAGTATTTAATTGCATAATGTAATTGTAAAAAAACAATTACGCATTTAACAACTTAAGTAGTTAAAAAGTTGACACGATAAAAATGTTGCCAGTTAATTATTCCTTGATTAGATTCTTTAATCAAAACCCTTTAATACATTGACCTTGTACATTATTTTAATTTAGCAAAATTCAGTAAAGATCGAGAAAAAAACCTATAATATATAATTCCTTCTTCGAGTTAACTTCAATAGAACCTCGATAACTTAAAAACCTCTATAACTTAAAAAAATAATATGTTCCCTTCCCATCAGAGCCCAAAATCTCTACATCATAGACCCTTGATAACTTAAAACCTCTATAACTTAAAATATTTTGTGTTTCCCTTGGACTTTAACTTATCGAGCTTCTACTGTACTAATGCCACACTCAGAATCAACGTTAGCGGCTATTAAACCTTAAGTGTTCAGTTTGAATCCTTAAGTTAAAGTTTCACGTTTTCTTACAACTTAATTAAACTTCACAGTAATATCGTTTAAATAGCTTCCCACACGGTGTGGGTCAACACAACTTACTAGATGTTTAATTCAACACCACCAAAGCAGCTCCAAGCGCCACCTAGCGCACGGAATACTAAACCATCATCACCAAAGATAGGACGAGAATATAAACAATCTTGCTCTTAACAGATTTAAAATCTTAACACGTAAATGTAATAAAAAAACAATTGGCGGACGATTTCATAACAACAATACTATTCCATGACGTAGGTAAGAAGTTAAAATCAATCTTTAGTATAACAATTCTATATAAAAATAATAAAAAAATAGAAAACAGTGGTTAAGTGGTATTATCGTACCAAAATATTAACGAATGGTAAAATTTAGCTGGGAAACCAGCTATTAATCAGTTGCATTTTGACGCTCTATCGTGTAACAAGCGTGTACCAAACGCTTCCAAACAGAACTAATGATCCCGATTCATCCGGAATCACGATCGATTCAAGAGTTCAACGTCTCAATTAATTGCCGTGTGTCGAAACTTTCCTTTGTGCGCCTATAAATGTGTTAACATACTTAATTTATGGATCTGTACGTAATTCATGTCTATTTGCAATCTTACTAAAATTATAAATGCAAAAAACTGTATGTTTTGATGGATGTTTCTTAGAAAGTATCCCCTTGAGCAATGATTTGTCCTCCATGAAATTAGGAGGCATAATTTTAGTCCCTTTCTCTTTCAACCCCTTTTGAGGAAAGGATGTGAAGAAAAAATGGATTTGACAGTGGAGAAGACGCCTAGGAAAGGGAAATGTCCTCTTTATGTGCGTCTCCTCCGTCAATTAAGAGTAGGCAACGCATCTGCAATTACGGATGTTTATGGGCAGCGGTTGCTTACCATTTCGGTGGATTCAGCTGGCCGCTTGCTCGTTTGCCACCTTATATTATAAAAAAAAAACTAAGTATTTAGTAGTGCAGTATAAACGTATTTAATCTGTAATAACAAGAGATCATATTAACTAAGTTATTATAATAATTTTCAAGTCATATAAATGGTAAGGGAATTTTCCGTTAACTATTTGTTCTTGAAGGCACTTTCATAAAATAATTTTACAACAATGTTATAAAATCGTAATCCAAACATAATTTATTAATAAAATTTACCGTACAATATGTCAAGTTGTTAAATTTAATTAAAACCATATATAGAAACTGGTTAATAACGTTGAAGCGGTTTCACATGAAGTATCAAGACTTCATTATTTAGCATTTAAATGAATAACCTAATATTCCAGGAGTCAAACGACAAAAATGATTATTTGGCTCTACCATCATAATGTTTTTAATTATTGCTAACAGATGGCGCTGGATGTAAAAACTCTTCAAACCATCTTTAAAGCACAGATTTCAAAATCATTTCAAGCGTCGTAGAAAATGATATATTTTTAAGGAAAATAGATTATACTAAGAACACGTTAGCTCCGCACGATAAAGCAGCCAAATATCTCGGGCACGGAATATTAAAATGCGACGAACGCAACCGATCGTAACTTTTTATATGAGCACGTCATCACTTAACCGTGAATTTGCACAGCTAAAACATTCATACAAAATATATTGCCATCTCTTTTTTGCACAATACAAAAAACTGAGATAGACATACATTTTTGTGTGGATGGTTGGCAGCACAGGGACACGTCGCGCCGTCATTTTGGAGGCAAAGACTGCGTGACAGGCGCGGTAAGATGAACGTTTTCGCACAACGCACATTTTGAATTATTTGTTACTCGTACATCATGACTGCAATATACGTTGTGTTGTTGACTATTTATTGTTTTTAGAAGAACAACAATTGTAAATCACACCAAGAGTTTCGAAGGTAATAAATTACTATAATACTTTTTAAAATCAAAAGTTAAGCTTTCCTTTCGTTCAAATCATCATCACCAGCTCACTAGTCACCACTGACGGGCTCGGAGCCTACCCTAATACCTTGCAGTTTTTGACTGGCGTTGCTGACTTGGGTGTGAATGACGTGGCGTGGTTGACTAAGGCCTAGTCACCCGTTAAAGTAGCCCAGTGCGAGTAGGTTGACTTCACACATGTCTTTGAATTTGAACCAACTCGCACTGGTCTGTTTTAATGGGTGGATTTTTGAATGTATTTGATTCACACCTAAAGTACTGAGCTGAGTTTTAAAATTCTTTCACCTTAGAAAGGTAATTTTTCTGTGACTGACAAAGGCTATATTTTGTATGATATTTTCATTTTACGCGGGCGAAGTCGCGAGCAACAGTTAAAGTCATTATATTTACAAATTATAAATATCTGTTTGTGCTAAAACCACAATACCGCAGTATTACAGTTCCCTTCTGGGAGAATATCTCGAAATAATAGAAAGATTAGTCGCGACATTAGAATCACTAGGGGATTAAAGAGATAAAAGGATTTCGTATCTTACTATACGGTTTTACTTTTTATAAGACGTACTATGGTTTTGAAGCCCTTTATTAATAGTTACTGTAGCTACCATTTTTAAAGATTTTCAAACATTTTTTTGTACATTAGATTAGCAGACATTATGATTAACATGGCGTGTATTTTTATTAATGAAGGAAACGTGTTAAAAAAACGTATATTATTTGCTTAATTGCTTAAAACTCGAATATAACTGACGTCACAAAATGGCGGTTTTCATATTTTTATACAACCACTAGATAAGTTTGAATAGTGACAAATAGAACAAATCCAAGATGGCCGCCATTGAAAAATGGCGGATGACTATGATTGCCAAATTGTACGAATTGATTTCTTTCTTGTTGTTTTTTAATTAAAAAAAAGAATTATCAATTCACGCATTATTACTGTTATAAGTAAAATTTTATTAAATAAGACATTAATTTTGAATAGTTTTTATGGCTTCTCTAGTAGATATAAACGCCCATACTTTAAAATATTAATCGAAGCTTTGCCTTAAACAAATAACAGACACCTATCATTATCTCTAAGCAATTTACCGGTTACATTGTAATGAGTAAAGTACTGTTATATGGTAGTTTCACAGCAATTTATAACCACTAACCGTGGGCTTACACTGACAAAGACATCTACCGTGGACTAACACTGACATCCTCGCAAAAACATAATGTTATCTCAACATTTTCAAAAGCAATAAAAAAGGTAGCAACATCTTTCATCAAATACATAGCTGACTAATTTATTCGATTACATTTTTAATTTGCAATAAATTGTGATTATTATACTATTGTAATTTTAATATTCTCTTCCAAAAACAGTTGTAAAAATGTAAAAAAAACCATTAACCTTGAAAAGTTTAACAAAGGTCACCGACACGGAACAAATAAAAGCACTGTATGGTGCAATCACAAGACATGAGCAGCTCATTATAAAAAGTAAAACTAAAACGTGAACACAATGGATAAATAAAAAAACTACGTATCCTTACTTAAATACGATCCCTGCAACGTTGTTCTAAATAAAATAAAGTTATCGTCTTCAGCTACATTTAAGACACATTTAACTAAAATTAACAACTAACATACATGAAAAAACATAACATAACATGCATATAAAATTTAAATTAATCTTGAAATATTCAAAGTTGTATTACAGTAATTAAAAAAATAATTACAATTTACACTTACTTGAACTCCTTACAACTAAACTTTTGTCATGAAAAACACACACACTAATTTATTTGTAAAAACTCCGATATCTGTTTAATCGTAAATCATACATAGAGTTAAGTTCACATTACATTTTAACTACAAGTAGAAAAACCAGATATTCCTACATCTCTGGTGACACGGAACGTACCGCATTGCCGCTGCTCGCTAGCGGACTTTGTAAAGCCTCTCATGCACTTTTAACCAGTTCACTAAAATAAAACGCTATTAAAAATAACGTATAGCAATAACTACTTTTATAATAACGATTACCAGTTACAATACATTTACCTTGACAATTAATTCAGTAAATTTAAGTTTGTTCAATTTAAAATACAGTTTATATTTTATTAAACGGTTTCTATCTTTTTTCTGGCTCAATAATTTATTTCCTAACGCTAGACTTGGACTTAAAGGTTTTGTGGCCTTGATTATTCAAAATTTATATCAAAATCTGATAGAAATTACGTGAAAAATTTTAAAGATCACGTTTTATATTGATGAATTAATGGTAATTACAAAACATTTTATACAATTTCAATACATTCATGGAACAGTCAACCGATAAACCTTAAATAGCCGTTAACAGTTATACACTGGTTTAAAATAGCGTTATAACTTTTTATCGCCAACCCTACTGACTCGATGCAGTTTCGCCTTTTTTGGAAGTGGTCGTGGCATCCCATCGGCTGTGCCCCTTCTTGAGATTTTTCGCAGAACACATACTTTGTCGGATGTCGGTGGACAAACGGGAAAGCATTCCTTGTCTTCATCATTTTTAAAAACCCCACACTTATCGGACAACTTAAACATAGGGCAGCAAATTATGAATGTTTAAATAGATTAAAATAAACTTGAAGACATAATTTTAAAGCACAATCTGCGATGTAAGATATTTTAATTGTAACTGTGTTGAGGACACTCACATATGAAAATTTAATGTAAGTTTTTTTGTTTCTAAAAAACATATACCATTTTCTAAATGTTACGGTTTTCCATCGACCAAATGTAGAGTTAGTAATACCTACAAAATACCGAATCTCAGCGCTTATTCTTACTTTCCCTCTTTTGCCAAACGGACCGGAAAACCGATAAGTTTTGCAACGAGGGTTGGCTCGAAACACAGAAAGTATCTTTTGGATATTCATTACTACATACCCAAATTTAACTCGGGAATAATAAAATCTCTTAAAATGCTTATAAGAGCAGTCAACATTTATAAATAATTATAGAAATATTAACAGTAACTTGACAGTGGTAGAACCCGCTTTAACATCTTCGCACCAATGGGCCGTTTCGCCCAGTGTAATACCACGACCACACAGAAAACAGGCGTGAAGTGGAATCAATTCCGCGTTTCGTCTGATGAGTGTGGTGCCGAAGGCCTAATTTTAGTCCCTTCCCCTTTCCACCCTTTTCTTAAGAGAGAGAATGGGAAGAAAAAGGGGATTTGACGGTGGAGGAGACGCATAGGAAGAGGAAATGTCCTCTTTATGTGCGTCTCCTCCTCCGTCAATTAAGGGTAGGCAACGCATCTCCAATTGCGGATGTTTATGGACAGCGGTCGCTTTCCATTTCGGTGGATTCCGCTTGCTCTTTTGCCACCTCATATTATAAAAAAGAAATTTTGAATTCAAAATTTCAATTGAAGTTCTTCAGCACCGACAAATATGTAAAGGTTTTAATAAACTTAACAAAACAAAATAAAAGTATAACCACCAACAACGTTACCGCGAATTTCAATACAAATGTATATGAACATATGACTGTTATTTTCACAGGATATATTGTTATACATAAATCAGTGTGAAAACTCCCTTATAAGGATTCAATTCTAGCTAGCACCACCACCTGTCACCAACGAGTAAAAATGGCGCGGCGCGACAACTCAAAGTAACAATGTTTGGCGACGAGCTTTGTAAATATTTACCACGACTCGTTCGCTAATAAATGCTAAGTGGAAAGTGTATCGGATGCGAAGCTTCACAAGTGTCGATTACCTTAAGTTGAGAGGAAAATATGCAATGCTTTCGATCGCGACTTCGTCCGCGTGGAATTAGAAAACAAAAATAGTCTATGTTTTCTTACAGACCATGGCCTACATCTCTGCGAAATTTCATCGAGATCCGTACAGCTATTAGGGCTACAAACTAAGAAACCATCTATCCATCTAAACTTTCGCATTTATAATATTAAACCTAATACCTATGTATTACCTAGGACTTTTTTCTACAACTTTTTTATCGTTTACAATATGTTAGATAATTATTTCATATGTAAATATGTTAAATTTTGTATTTTGTCACAAGGGAAATAAATATATCTTCATCTTTGACATAAACCTGTTAAATAGAAGGAAGGAAGTAATTCAAAGAAACTGTGATGTTTATTACTCACTCTTTAATATACGTGAATTAATTTTTGCATTTTCGAATTTAAGGTATTTCTAAACGAAAGACGATTGAAGTTCAAGAGACAAAATTATTTAAAAACGCCATTTAAATGTTTAAAAACTTATGCTTTTTTACTCAATTTATTAAATGTGTATTGATTATTTGTATACATGAAAGTAACGAGAACTGAGTTATTATACGAGTAATCATGTTTATTTATTTATTTATTTATTTTCATGGATGACCAACAGCTATTACAACAAAGTAGGTACAGTGGTAGTTAAATTGTACAGTCAAGAACAGGTCTCCACTAATAGAAGTATTTACAAAAATGTTAATGCGCGAATAAGCAACAGTTATATAAAAAGTTAAATTCGAGATTCAGTAATAATATTGATATATTCAGTGTCGATAATTTTGAACATCGTTAGCCATTCTGTCAACGCCACAGTCGGCTAACTTGCTGTTGTTAACCGCTTCCAGTGAACTTTAAATTGAGTTGCTCAGAGCACTAACCAAACTTCAAACTTCTGCTACTCCAAAATCGAAAGACCAGAACGTGAGTATTAATAAATTCTATGAAAATTATCCAATATTATGTGTTACTTTAGGACATTTTATGTAGAAACCGTGATAAAAAAATAATAATCGTGTACTTACCTCCTAGAAAATAAACTAAAAACTTTAACTGAAAACAAATAGAGGATGTTACGTAAATAATCGAATGAATACATAAAAAACAATTACATTGCGAATACGAATGCGAATCATTTTTGAAGCTTATAAAAATGACCTCAAAGCCTATAGAAAAGTAAAAAATAAAAAAAAAAACCGTAAAGATCTCGTTTATAATAATTTGTCACATGAAGTTGCAATTTAAATAAGTGAACTTGTATAAACATTTAATCTTTTATAATCAACATTATCACTTACAAGCAAAAGTAGATTAACCGTTATTAGTATCTCAAGGTCATAGATAACTTGTAGGTCAACTAAAGTCGATAACAAACAACACTAGACAGCATGGCGCCGTAATCCAGTTAAAAAGTGACAACACGCATAACTCACATTTTAAACTGAACTTTTTTTAGGGTTATACATCCGCTTTCATTTTGGAATTAAGTGCCTATTTTCACTGAACAGTAATTCCGTGCAGGTTCTAAGCAACCCTCGACAGTAGCGCAAGGAAGTACATCACTTAAAGGTTTCATTTCGCGTCGCACACCGCCCCGCGAGGGGTGAATGACCCGAACACCAATCGGGTAAGCTTTTTCAAACTTTCCTCGCAATTTTCCACATCTTGAATGAAATCGATTGCAATTTTTTTTTGAAGAATAAATACGTGAAAATCTACCTCCAATTAGTACCTGGTAAATATATTATAGAAAAGAAATACAATAGAATCTCGATAAGTTAAAGTCCAAGGGAAACACAAAATATTTTAAGTTATAGAGGTTTTAAGTTATCAAGGGTCTATGTTATAGAGATCTTGGGCTCTGATGGGAACAAATTATTTTTTGAAGTTAGGAGTATGTTATAGTTAGTTCTCTAGGTTATAATGTAGCTTAAAGTAACCGCGATATTTTATTACACACACTTTAATGTATTTTGTAAAGGACTTTAAAATTTTTGAATCAAAACCGCATATTTCTAGACGTAGGAGTACAAAATATAGAGTGTTAATACTTCTTTTAATATAATATTTTACGATTACAATAAAAAAATTGCTTAAATAGAGTCAATAAAACTGATACTTTCTATGAAATAAGGATAGAATAAAAATTATTAATAGTTATTAAATGCAGACGTGCAAGAAATTGTAATTTATACAAATAAATATTATGATAAATAGATAAGTATAACAAAGGACAAAGGAACCCGAGTGAGTCTTTTACATAAATACACGATTTAAATTCAACTATCACTGACATAATTCAAGAGACAGGACAAAAGTTCTTTCACCGCAAATAATAACCAAGAGACATATTTTAGAGATTTTAAAGCTAAATAAATTGTTAAATACCTTTATAATACTTACATGTTTCCTATCTTCATATTAAACCATATGTTATCTATATCTATACTAATATTATACAGAGGGAAGATGTATATTTTTGGTATTATGTATTGAAATAACTCAAAAACTACCGGGTCGTATTCAAAAAATCTTGCACCATTTAAAAGCTATGTTATCACTGAGTAACATAGGTTATATGTTTCTATTTCACGTAGACGAAGTCGCGAGCTAGAGTTAGTTTAATTACAATATTAATTACAACATTAATTTGATACCTACATTAACCTAGGATTATGTAAAAACAAATGAACTCTATCCCAGAATGAACTAAGATAACAATATTCAGTTGTTTCAGAAGTGAAATTCTATTGTTATTTATGGTTTGATTTTTCCCACACCATAGAACATAAATGTTGAAAAACGTAAAGATTTGAATCTCAAGAAGACTTACACTTTGTTTTAAAGATCTAAATATTATGGATAAAGCTTTCTCAACTAGCGATCACAGCATAAAATGTTTACGTTGGGATCCGAACATTTAACTCGCGTGCCCCTCTGGCGCACATTAGATCTCCCCTTAATATGTGAGGCTCGAAAAGGTGAACGACGATAAAAGGTTTGCAACATCTGCTCCCTTCTTTAATTATTAAAAGATCTACGAAATTCAAGTCTCACATGCCTAAAAGATGTGCACTTAAAAAGTAAAATACAAATAAACTGCTGATTTCGCTTATTAAGTACCATTCACAAAAAAAAACTTAGAA